CGAGCCCGCCACGGCGCGAGCCCCACGTCGGCCCCGCGCGCGCGCCCCCGCCTCGCCCCGCCCCCCAGGGTGCGCGCGCAAAAGTAAAGTGACAGCCCAGTCCCTGCCTGGCCCGGCCGCCGCACGGGGGTGACGGGAAGGGACCCGGGGAAACCGAGGCTGGGCTGGACGGCGGCTGCGGGGCAGGGAACGCGGAGACCCGGACGTGCGCGCGCGTTAAAGGGACAGGACGGCGGGGGTCCGGGATAGGGTGGGGTCCGGGACACCCCCACCATGCACCCACCGCACCTGTGCACCCACTGGAAAACGATCCCTCCCGCAGGCACCCACTGCACAGGGAGACCTCCAACATGCATCACTGCACAGGGATCCCTCCACCAGGCACCCACTGCACAGGGATCCCTCCACCAGGCACCCACTGCACAGGGAGACCTCCACCAGGCACCCACTGCACAGGGATCCCTCCAACAGGCACCCACGGCACACGGATCCCTCCACCAGGCACCCACTGCACAGGGATCCCTCCAACCAGGCACCCACTGCACAGGGATCCCTCCAACCAGGCACCCACTGCACAGGGATCCCTCCAACCAGGCACCCACGGCACACGGGATCCCTCCACCAGGCACCCACTGCACAGGGATCCCTCCAACCAGCACCCACGGCACACGGATCCCTCCAACCAGCACCCACTGCACAGGGAGACCTCCACCAGGCACCCACTGCACAGGGATCCCTCCACCAGACACCCACTGTACACTTCACAGACACCACAACCAGCACACGAAGGGCCCACTTGCACCACAGTGGGAAAGCTTCAGGTGGACCCAGTGAAGCATCGCTTCCCACCTCCAGCATCTAAGGCTCCTACTGTGGCCTGTCCAATCCTGACTTCCCAGAATGCTCACTGCAACTCCGGTTGGGGAAGAGGGGCCAACAGGTGCAGCAGTGTCTGAATGAGTGGAGGCTGCCCTGGTTCCTGAGGGACCACAGGAGCCCTGCTGTGGGTGGCCTGAGGGAACATCAAGTTCCCCTAGAATCTTTGCCCAAATTAACCATTTTTCCAACCC